TTTTTAGTACTAAAAAGAATTTCTTTGGTCCATTGGTCCATAGCAACACACACACATACACACACACACACACACACACACACACACACACACACACACCACATATGGTCCCACTTCAAGTGTGTGTGTGTGTGTGTGTGTGTGTGTGTGTGTGTGTGCATACATATATACATATATACATATGGTGTAAAGTAATGGGTCCTTGGAATGTAGATACAGGTAGATCACAAAAATGCTGTTCATGCTCCCAGGATCACCATCTTTAAGATAGCTTAACCTTTTTGAGTCTGAATTTACATTTTACTTATCAATTAATCTATAAGGTTGGAATAGAGAGCCTAGTAGACCACAAGATGGTCAGAGGAGATAGTAACTGTGACTACTGGCACCCCAGATGCAATTCTCTGTTCCTGGGATTTATACCCTTTCCCCCTTTTGCGTAGTGCATTGGAGAATTTAAAACCCCAAATGTTTCTTTTAAAATTATAAAGACACATTTCTACTTCAGAAACTTTGTTAGAATCAGGAAAATACATGTAAGAAAATAAGAAAATTTAAATTACTGTGCTATCACTCCCCAAGCATCACCACTGCTAATATTTTAGTGACTCTCATGCCAGACTTTTCTACTATGCATAAGCAATCAAGATTATGTATATAGCCTTGTCACCAGCCTTTTCATTTACTGCCCTAGGTAAGCACATCCATCCCTGCTTGATTAGCCTTGAAGAAGTTCACACTGACTCTTCATACATTGCTCTGGTAGACCTTCCAGTTTTCAATACTGTAAATAACATTGCACTGAACATCCTTATTCATCCAACTTTGTGTGTGTGTGTGTGTGTGTGTGTGTGTGTGCTTGTGTGTGTTGAGTTTCCTTAGGATAAATGTCCAGAAATGAAATTAACAGAGTAAATGATAGACACATTGCCAAGTGTCATTTTAATGATTTGTTGTTTTGTGTGTGCTTTTTGGTAGGTGCCATGGCATGTATGTGGAGGTCAGAGGACAACTTTTGGGAGTCAGTTTTCTCCTTCTACTGTTGGTTCTGGGGATCCAGCTCAGTCTACAAGGCTTGAAGAGCACTTGTATCTGCTGAACCATCCTGCTAACCAAAGCAAATATTTTATGTTTATTTTTTTGGTTCTCTCTCTCTCTCTCTCTCTCTCTCTCTCTCTCTCTCTCTCTCTCTGTGTGTGTGTGTGTGTGTGTGTGTATGCATGCGTGCGCGTGCGTGCACATGTTTCCAGATGTGTGTGTAAGTCAGAAGACAGCTTTATGGACTCAGTTCTTTTTTTCCACCATGTGGATTCTGGTTATCAAATTTAAGCTGTCAAGTTCAGCATTAAGTGTCCTTACTTGCTAAGTCATCTTGCAAATCATCTGATTTGTAATGACACAGTCTCACTGTGTAGCCCTGGCTGGCCTGGCACTTTCTATATAGGTCAGACTAGCCTTGAACTCACAAAGTTCTGCTTACCCCTGCCTCCCAAGTGCTTGCATTAAAGGCATGCAATATCACATCCAGCTCCCAAATAATATAAAATACAGAATAAATACAGTGGGATCTGGGAAGATGGCTAAGTGGTTAAGAGCATTGGCTGCTCTTCCAGAGGATCCAGGTTCCATTTCTAGCACCCACACAAGGGCTCATAAGCTTCTGTAACTGAAGTTGGCTTCCAGCAGTTTCTGCACTCATGTGTTACAGATAAACTCAGGTTCAGACACATAAATAAAAGCATGTATGTATGTATGTATGTATGTATGTATGTATGTATGTATGTATTTTTCTTTATCCCATCATTCAGGAAGCATTTATCAGACACTTTGCAAATGTTAAGTGGGGGGTCAGTTATGAGGGATATGACTGTGAACATTATAGACCCACAGTTGCTTCAGGCTGCTTATAAGGTTAGGGAGAGAGGCAATAATCAGACAATGAGCATCTGTTGGAGAAGATCAGACGAGAGGTCTAGTGGTCAAGCACCACAAGAGATGTTACTGTTTTCATACTTGGCTGGTCTCTCACAGATCATAGACTGTCTTCAATTTCTCCTAAATCTCTAGACCATCAATTTCTCCTAAATCTCTAGACCATCAGGGTAGAGATCAACAAGGATGGGTGAAATAACAGACTTGAATTGGTAAGGCTAGAAATGTCATAGTATTTGTTTCTAATTCTTTTTGTTTGTTTTGTTCTTCAAGACAGGGTTTCTCTGTATCGCTTTGGAGCCTGTCCTGGAACTTGCTCTGTGGACCAGGCTGGCCTCGAACTCATAGAGATCTGCCTGTCTCTGCCTCCTGAGTACTGGGATTAAAGGCGTGTGCCACCAACGCCTGGCCTTCACTCTTTCTCCCTTCCTTCCTTCCTTTCTCTTTCTTTCTTTCTTTCTTTCTTTCTTTCTTTCTTTCTTTCTTTCTTCCTTTGTTTTTTGTTTTTTTTCCATGCAAATATTTTAACTCCTTCTTGTGGCCTACAGGGTACAGCTTGCTTCTGGAAAGGCCCTGCTTCAATCTTTTAATTTCAGTGACTAAAGTGACAGACTACTTTCTGAGTTCTTTCTTTTCCTTTGCACCATTTTTTTTTTAGGTTAGCAAATCTCAAGGGCTGGAGAGAAGGCCCAGCAGCTAGGAGCACATGTTGCTCTGCAGAGGACCCAAGTTCAGTTTCCAGCACCCACACTGGATGGCTCACAACCACCTGTAACGCATGCACTTACAATGTGAATACACACACACATATGCACATTTAGAAATATTTTTTTCTTAAAGGAAAGAGGCAGAAAGATGGCTCAGGAGGAAAAGGTTCCCATCAAACTGGAGGACTTGGGTTTTCCTGGAACCTGCATGGAAGAAGAGAAGTGACCTCTGCAAGTTGTCTTCGGTCTTCCACAGGTGCATCATGACATTCTTGCACACACCCCCATAAATAAGTAAATATGAAAAATTGTAAGAAATGCATGCTCTGAGGTATCTTTTCAACAACTCAATCCTTCTCAAAGTACAACCCTTCATCCCTGCCCCCAGTTCATTTTCAATCACATTTGTTGATTTTTCCTTTCCTGGTGCCATTGTGAATGAGAGGCTATGGAGTGAACTTTCACCTGTCTCTTTTGACCTTCTCGCATTCCCTGAGTGTATTTTATTATCTCTCATGTTTCACCTGTTTAACTGGACAAGGAAATGTGACAACAGATGCACGTCATGAGCTGGGAAAGCCCTCATGCCCTTCTCTCCCATCAGTTGGGTTCCATAGGGGCTGGGAGGGAAGTCATGGCAGGGTGTGCTCTTAACTCAGTCCTGACACTGTGCCCAGGGGAAGTGGATTTATCAGCACTGCAACATTACTGTCAAACTGAGCCACCTCTTGTGTCCCTGCAACCCCTTGCGACTGGAGAGACCATGTGTGTGAAGATATAGTCTCATTATGGGCCGAGATAATAATCTCAGGATGTGAGGGGAGGGATCTAGCAATCATTAATCTGGAGACCCCTGTAGAGATTGGGATACAGAGGAAGGGAATTCTTATTTCCTTTTCTACTTGTCATCAAGCCTCTTGCTTCCTCTGGTCTTCAACTTGCTCATAAACTCCTTCCTTAGCATTGGCCACCACAGGACAGTCATCCTGTGCCACATGGCAATTGCAGTTTTAAATTTCTCCTTGTTTATGACCTTCATGGCCAGCCCCAGCTGCCTCTTAAACTTCCCAATTCTCTTCTCATTTGTTACCCGAGGGACTCTTCCCCCTTTGTTTCTTCTTGTTGTTCTTGTTCTTCTTCTCCTTCATCATCCTCTCTCTCTCTCTCTCTCTCTCTCTCTCTCTCTCTCTCTCTCTCTCTTCCAAGACTGGGTTTCTCTGTGTATAGCTCTGGCTGTCCTGGGATTCTTTGTAGAACAGGCTGGCGTCGAACTCAAAGAGGGGTTTAAATGAGTCCACCAACCCAAGATAATGATTTATTTATTAGGGAAGCACTTGCCTCTGCCTCTGCCTCCCAGAGTGCTGGAATTAAAGGCATGTGCCACCACCACCTGGCTATGAGGGAACTCTTAAGAGATGATACTGCTCCTTCCTGTTCAAAACATCATTCCATCCCTCCACCACAGGAAACATTCTTGGAGGGAAGTAGTGGGGTGGGGCTCCTATATCTACCCACTAGGGTAAGAGAGCCACCTTGGTACTATGCTGGTGTACTGTCCCCCTCGGGAGGCCCTCAGGAGCTGTTAATTCACTCAGAAGAGAACTGAGGTTTATCAGTGTTTGCCTCACTGATAGAAGCCGCTAGCTTTGTCGTTTGAAACAGGTCAAGGTGTGGGCTTGCCCTAGTGAGAGGAGGGAAGAAATGGGTGAATCAGAGGAATCATAATGAAAGTTGTCCATACAAGACCTTTGTGTGAGTCTGACGCTCTCTGTATTTAAAATCTCAGTTCAAGACCCACATGGTGGCACATGTATTTAATCTCAACACTCAGGATGCAGGTCTTCTATGTGAGTTTGAGGCCAGTATGTTTACATAGTGAGTCCAGGCCAATCAGGGCTACATAGTGAGAACAAACAAAATCTCATCAACCCCCCCCATCCCCCCCACAGGATTTCTCCGTGTAACAGCGTTGGCTGTCCTGGAACTCGTTCTGTAGACCAGGCTGGCCTTGAACTCACAGAGATCCACCTGCCTCTACCTCCCAAGTGCTGGGATTAAAGGCATGCATCACCACCGCCCAGCTACAAAATCTCATTTTAAAAAAGGGACCATTTCACAGGTGAACAAACTGAAGGTTGGAACGGGAAAGAGCCATTTTTCACAATTAGTAAGCTTGATTAAAATCCAAGTCGGCTTGATTTTAAAAACAGAGTTCTCCACAGTTACTGCAGGTACAGGGAAACTACTCTGGACCCAGCCTCTAGTTTGCCTGACTTCCCCGTGACGCGTGCGCAGTGCGGCTGCGTCGCCTCCTACTGGCGGCGCACTGCAGGCGGTGGTCACCAAAGGCTCCTAAGTGCGCCTGCGCACAAGTGAGTGGGTGGGGACCTACTACCTCGGCTTTGCTGTACGCTGGGCCGGCGCGGCAATGGCGCAACAGGGGAAACTACTCAAGGAGCAGAAGTACGACCGGCAGCTGAGGTGAGCCAGGGTTTCCCAGTGAGCGAGCCGGCGGGTTTGCGGGCTCTCCGGAGGCCTGTGGGGCCTAAGTGCCTCGGCGGCTTGGGCGGGGCCTCCCTCGGGCCTGGCGCGGCGCGGCGCGGCGCGCGGGCGGTGCGGGGCGTGGGGAGCCGGCGCTCTAGGCTCTGGTCACCGGCCACAGTGCTGGGCGAAGGCCGGGACGCCCCTTCCTGCAGGGCCGCGCCAGGCTGTGTGCGGTTGGAGGGTGCACGGTGTCTCCTCGAACCTGGTCTGCACCGTCGTGGCCGGCCCCCTGCGTTCACTGAACAAGAGGATCGGGAGTATCCCATCCCTACCGCAGTGTGCTGCACCGAGTGTGCTGCACCGAGTGGCTGATACTGTTCCACGCCAGCGCTGTCAATAGAAATGCATAATGATAGTTCCATGTGAGCAATCTGTGTCCGCAATTATAATTTTTACAGTAGGCATCTTTGAAATAAGTTAAAAGAAGCCGGACGTGGTGGTGGACTCTCGTTGGTAATCCCAGGACTTGAGAGGCAGAGGCAGGTGGATCGAAAATTGCGAGCCAGCCTGGGCTACAAAGGAGGGACCTGGGGATGGGGAGAGTAAAATGCCGGGGAAGTAATTTTTGCTACTGCTGCCTCCTACCCTTCTTTATTTTGAGAAACGGCCTTACGCAGTCCAGACTGGCCTTGAACTTAAGCATCTATCTCCCAGGTGCTGAGATTGCAGATGTTCTCTGCCAGGCCAGGCTCAAATACAAGTTTTTGTCCTTTCTCCTCTCATCCTTTCACCCTGAGTGTCCTGGAACTTGCCATGTACACCTGGCTGGGCTCAAACTTGCAGCAATCCTCCTGCCTCTGTCCCAACAGCTGAGATTACCCGTGTGGAGAGAACCACATCCATTTTTCTAGGTGCCGAGGGTGGAACTCTGGGCATCATGCATGGTGCCAAACTTACATACCCCATCACCAGAATCATTTTAAAATAATGTTTATTTAACGTAGTATGTCCAGAGTATTACCATTTCAACATGGAATTATTGTGAAAAAAGTTACTCGGCTTTTTTTTTTTGTTGTTGTTGTTGTTAACACTGTCTTATAAATCAAGTATTTCACACATAAAGAATGTCTTAATTCATGCTAGCTGCATTTCTAGGATTCAGTAGCCATTTGTAAATAATCTTAACAGACAGGGCATATTTAAACCATCAGGTGGATCCCTCAACTACTTCCCCATCCTTGCTCTTTTCCCTCTCCTTTTCTTACTTATTATCTTCTGTATGTTGAGTCAATGGAAGTTATAAAAGTGCTTGCCACCACCTCTCCTCTCGGGAGCTCCCATGATACACTGTGTCCCTAAAGATGGGAATTTCCCTTTGTACTGACAGCCTAATTAGTACTGCACCAGGGATTTAGACACTTAGTTCTGAGCCTGTCCTTGAAGGCAGAAGGTCTTTGATACCGGCAACTAAGACTTGTAAAAAAGTTAGGTTTTCAACTTGGGTCCATTTAGCTTTTTCATAACCATCCTTTTTCCCAAGCTTCTAGAGAGAGAGAGAGAGAAGTCAACAGAACTGTAACTACTATGAATTCTTTTATACTCTTGTAGTTCTTGTGTTTTGGGTGTACATAAAACCATAGACAACAAAACTGAGAAGATATTTAAGGTTACTAGGTACCAGAAGAGGATTTTTATTAAGTCCATTCCTTAAAGTACAAAATTTTATCCAGTATAATGAGAACTGCTTATGGCTTTAGGGTCAGAAGGAAACAGAAATGAAGTTGGATGGGCAGGTAGCAGCCAGTGATCAAGGCCTGGCTCTCGGGCCAGCAAGTGTCCCATTTCCCAGGCTGTTCCTCCAACTGACAGGCATTCAGTGATCAGCTCTTCTAGGCAAAAGCCCTGTGTCAGCAGTGTGGTCTGGGACCCTTTAAAGTGAAGAGATAGATGCTCAGTAAATGAAAACTCAAATGGTGCAATTTGTTGAGGTGGCTTTATTATGGTGGCAGGAAAAGAATGTCAGAGTCTTTTCTTCGTCCTGTGGGCATTTAATAGTACTTTTGAGCTTCCCCATGTTTTCTGTTCTGAAGAAAAAATAGTAGATTTTTTTTTTTTGGTTGGGGTTTGTTTTGGGTATGTGTTTTACGTGAAGGAGTCAGGGAGTCAAGGTGACCAGATTGGCCCCAAAACCATGGTATGTGTGTGATTATGAACTTGTTAATGATATGCCAGTATCAATCAGGTTATAACTTGTATTTCTGATTCTTATTATACCTTCATGTTTGTTAATGTATGCACCTTTTTAATCATTCTAGAATGTTCATTGGCTATTGTATTTTTATAGATTTTATTTGTTTATATTTCAATTAACATTATATAATTTTCTGCTTCAGCTTTCTGAAAAGCTGAGACAATAAGTGCTGAGACAAAGGTGTTAGCACCTTTCTTTAATGTTAATAAGTATATTCCCTAGGCTTTCTGTTCTATAAATTACCTGGCTTCAAAGGAATAAAACAAAGACTAGAAAGACAGCTTAATAGTACTGATTATATCATACAAAGGATGATTGATCGAAGTTTTCAATTACATTGTCAGATAACCCTCACAATTATATCAGTTCAGTATCTCACATGTTTGCTATGGTATGTTATATGTTATTTTATAGAAGAATACTTTAAAATATCATCATTCAAATAAGAAAGTCATTATTTTTGAGAACTTTTTTAATGTTCAATTTGTGTTTTGTTTTGTAGGTTGTGGGGTGATCATGGGCAAGAAGCTTTAGAATCTGCACATGTTTGCCTAATAAATGCAACTGCTACAGGAACTGAAATTCTTAAAAACTTGGTATTACCAGGTAATATAACATTGGTGATTGTTTTCTAAGTAACTTAAGGTTCTCATAAAAAGTACTTATTCTTGGGCTGTCAGGATGGCTCAGTGGGTACTCACTTGCCAATTTGAGTTTGACCCCTGGAAGGAGAGAACCAACTCCCATGGGTTGGACCTTTGGCCTCCACATGTGTGCAGTAGCCAAGTACCCTGACATTCAAATCAATAAGTGCAAAACAAAACACCAAACCAAAACATGTTTTTGACTTGTCTTTTGTCTCCTCAGGTATTGGATCATTTACAATTATTGATGGAAAGCAGGTCAGCGGAGAAGATGCTGGAAACAAGTATGTCTTGTTCTTTTACCATATGAACCTGTTAGAAGGTAGTGCGCTCAGGATGAGCCTGAGTGCTAATTGAACCTCATGACTGTGTGTGTGTGTAGGTTATGGGGAAAAAGTGAGTGAATAAAGGTGAAGTGCTGGGACAGTGTCTGGCAAGTAAACTAAAAACAAACAGAACTCATTGTCACTGTCTTCACTGCTGTTAGTACAAAGTGGTAGTCATTTTTCTCTTACCTGTGAATTCTGAGTCCTATCTAAATCCTTAATGTTAGTGCAGTATAATAATTGTGTTTGGGACATCAAATACAATAAGCAAGAACAGTTAACTGAACATGTGACACATGCGTTTAATTCCAGTGCTCAGGAGGTAGAGTGGATCTCTGTGAGTTCAAGACCAACCTGATATACATAGTGAGTTCCAGGACAGCCAGAGCTAAACAGTGAGACTATCTTTAAAAAGAAAAAGGAATAAGAGCAGTACCTCTCATTTTTATCTTTTAAATGTAGTCTGGTATATTTCTCATTGTACCATGTTATTTAAAAATGCTTCTTTATAGGTGATCTGTGTTTTGTTCTATAGAGATAGTCATATTTAGAGTTTGAGAACTTTTCCCAATTTGATTTCATGTTTATTCTCCTCAAGGGTTTAGAGCCCATTATATTTGTCCCTAAATAGCAAGTAAACATTAATTCAAGGAAAAACAGAATTTAGTTCATATTACTTTAATACTTTTTCTTTGGATTATAGTATGTTTCTGCTATCCACAACTCTTTTATTGATATCTGTAAAGTAATAAAAGTTGTATTATTGTAGCTTATCTGGCTGATTATGTAGGATGTGCTAAGTATAAGGTTTCTCTGTTTTTCCATTTTTAAAGATTTATTTTATGTATGATTACTATATCTGCATGTATGACTTTATGCCAGATTCCACTAGAGATGGTTGTGAGGCACCATATGGTTGCTGGGAATTGAACTCAGAACCTCCAGAAGAACAGTCAGTGCTCTTATCCACTGAACCATCTCTCCAGCCCAAGGTTTCTTTTTTTATGGAACCATGTGTCCTTGCCACAAAATTGTGCCTAGATTCTCATCAGCAGCCTCAATTTAGGCCTATGGGATGTGACCGGCATATGTGTGGGAGGAAGCCTGAGTGAATCTTTGGTAATTTCTTGCCAAAGCAAACAGTTCACTACAGCATTTCCCAAGTGTCTGCAGAATGTTGGTTATAGGAAATGTTAATAGCTCTTAAATGGGACAGTGGATTTCATGGTCAAATGAGTTTGGGGAATGGTTCAAAGGAGGTTATAATTTCTTTACTATATAACTTTATTATCAGGTACATTATGACTTTCCAAGAAGGTGGTATAACATATGGTGTTTCCTCTCTTTTTCATTCTTAGAACTCTCAGAGCATCTTGTGAAATTTGTCTTGAGGAACACTGATTTACTAACCTGTCCACTTTTCTTCCTCCAAAAAAGACTGTTATAGTCTTTTATGAAAATAGTGTTTGTGGGTTAGGGAGCATATAGCTCAGTGGTAAAGAAAAGTAAACACACACATACAATTGATTAATATTTGAATGTGATAGACATTATTACAAATGGTAAACAACTTTTGCTTTATAGCCATATAAATCTTGAATTTTTTTTTTAATCCCCTTTAGTTTTTCCTTCAAAAAAGCAGTATTGGCAAGGTAAGCAATCACTGTTACAAAGTATGGTTGTATGTGAACATCTAATAATCCACTTTATCTTGGCTGCTAGAAAAGTTCTGACTTTAAAAGATCTTATTCTCTGAGTAAAAGTAGGGATAGTTCATTTTCTAATCTGGCAAATCTCTTTTGGTAGTTGAAGAATTTTAGAGTACTGCCTGTGTTTTTACTCTGTCCTTTACTAAGTCCTAATAACTTTGATGTTCAGTGGATGGAGTATTATGGTTAAGAAATTAGTAAGTGGGAGTTAGCCAGAAAATTCTTTATTTTTATAGTTTAAGTGAAAACTTTAGAAATCCATGTTCATATTCAGAATGAAAGTTGCACTTATTTAATGATGGGATTATAGACATGGGTGATTATGAGAGTGTGTCTGAACTTGATCCAGTGTAACCCTGCCTGCCACCTATTTTTGTCATTTACCTGTCACAAAAGTGAGGGCAAATAATGTGGTCATTTAAGAACTCTGGTAGTGCTAATCTGGTTCAACCCTGAGTAACATTCTGCTTGAACCTCAGTTAAATACTGAGGAGTAGAATTGTCACATCTATGCATGGAATTAGGAAATTTCCACAGTTTTTCTTGATCTGTAAGCTTTTGGGGATTGTATTGTAGTTAAGTACTTTCTAATTCAAGTCAAATGCTTTGTTTTTGAAAGAACCGAGCTCAAGCTGCCATGGAATTCTTACAAGAACTAAATAGCGATGTCTCTGGAAGTTTTGTGGAAGAGGTATAATACATATATATTGTTTTTTCTATAATGCAGTATATTTTTAAAAATAATTCAAAGTCCCAGAACTTAAATTTTGAGTCATTGTATTACTTACATTTAGTTGGAATTTAATTTGTCGGCTCATTTTTTTTTAATATAGCTTAACTGCTCCTGCCATGTTTAATTTGTGAAATTGTTGAATTTTTCCTCCCCTTGTCTTATTTAGAGTCCAGAAAACCTTCTAGACAATGATCCTTCATTTTTCTGTAGGTTTACTGTTGTGGTTACAACTCAGCTTCTTGAAAGGTAAATTTTAGATGTTAATATCTTTCTTAGTCTTACTTTATTTGCATAGTTTTCCCTATGTACATTTTTCTGTATACATATTTTGTCTGGTGTCTAAAATTCTTAAAAGAAGTATTTAATTTGATGCTCTTGTATGTATTCTAGCTTTGAAAGCATAGGGAAGAAAAAGTAAAATATTTGGGTATATTTAGAGCTTTAAGTGAACATTAGATATTGCTAAATGATGAAATATTAATTAGAAGTCAATTATGGTGCTATAAGCCGGTAAACTCAACACTCATTTTTTGTGTTTGAGGTCAGTCCCTGGCCTACACAGTAAGTTTCAGGCTAGCTTGAACTACATAGTTTCCAAAAATACCAAAACCTAGAAAATTAAATACAAATTAGTTAAATTGTTATTAATTACAGGAAGATTTGTAGGTGTATACATATATACATGGTGGTGCATGCCTTTAATCCTAGCACTCAGGAGACTGAGGCAGGCAGATCTCTATGAGTTCGAGGCCAGCCTGATCTACAGAGTGAATTTCAGGACATTTAGGGCTGTTACATGAGAGAAACCCTGTCTCAAAAAACCAAAAACCAAATACAAACAAACAAAACAAAACAAATCAAAAAGGTTTAATGTTTTTACCAGCATTTTTCCTAATAAAACAGATTAGGGTCTTACATCCTTCTTGTTCAACATTTTTGAGATTGCAGCCAAGTGAAATTGCTTGCTTTCCATTAAACTCTTGCTTATTTATGTTAGACAGTTCCATGTCTGGCATATATTCACTTGCTTATGTTCTTATTTGCCTTCCTTTACAGTACATTACTTCGTTTAGCAGATGTCCTCTGGAATTCCCAGATCCCTCTCTTTTGATCTGTAGGACATATGGACTAGTTGGTTATATGAGGATTATTATAAAAGAACACCCAGGTAAAATTGTTAAGCATATGGGACTTGCTATTGGTTGTTTGAGCCTCTAAATTTATAGCAGTATATCTCTGGCTACAGGTTTAAAGAAACAATCAGATTCAATAGTTTGTCTTTTTTTTTTTAATTTACTTATATGTGTATGGATGTCTTGCATGCATGTATGGCTGTATACCAAGTATATGCCTGGTGCCTGCAGAGTCCAGAAGAGGCCCTCATATCATCTAGAACCAGAGTTACAGATGGTTGTGAGCCATTACATTAGTCCTAGAAATGGAACCTGGGGTCCTCTGGAAGAGCAGCCACTGCTTTTAATCACTGAGGCATCTCTCTAGACTGATTCCATAGGTTTTGTCTGCTATTTCCTTACATATCATAGCATTATAGATAGATGCAGATCAGAGACGTAATGTACAACTTCATCTTGTTAAGAGGTTTGACCACTGTGTAAGTGCCTGGTTCTTTTTCTCCCTAACTCAAGTAGTGTATTTATGGCTACCACAAGAGTGAGTGCACGTGTCACTTTGATACAGACAGTACACTAGTGGTTCTCAACATTCCTAATGCTGCCACCTCTTTAATACAGTTCTTCATGTTGTGGTGACCTCCAGTCATAAAGTTATTTTGTTGGTACTTCATAACTGTAATTTTGCTACTGTTATGAGTTGTAAATTATCCGATATGCAGGATATCTGATATTTGAACCCCAAAGGAGTCATAACGCACAGGTTGAGAACCACTGCATTATACCAACATTTCATACCAGTCTTGTTCCAGTCTCATACTGGCCTTAGATTTCCCATTTCATGTTCAATTACACACGATAAGCCTTTTTCCTTACTCCTATTCCTATAGAAACAGTGTTAAATGAGACCAGAGACATTCATAGACAGGCTTACATCAGCCGAGGGTTGATATCAGCTTTTCCTTTAGAATCTTAATCTTAGAATTTTATAAAATTTTCCTGTAGTACTCTAAGTAATAATAGCTATTAACAATGACAGTATCACAAGAAGTAGTGTCACTTGGCCAGGTAGGATAATCTTTTAGCAAGTGATGTTGGGATATTTAAGAGTTAAAAGTGTGTGTGTGTGTGTGTGTGTGTGTGTGTGTGTGGTGGGGGAGCTGTGATGGCACACACCTTTAATCCTAGCACTGGGGAGGCAGAGGCAGGAAGATTTCTGTTAGTTCAAGGCCAGCCTGGTTACAGGAGCAAGTTCCAGGACAGATGGGGGCTACACAGAGAGACCCTATCTTGGAAACAAAACAAAACAAAACAAAACAAAAAAAAAAAAAAAAAAAAAAAAAAAAAAAATGATATTTGCTGGGCTGTATCTTGAAAAACAAAACAAAAAGTTAAAAGTGGGGAAAGTGACAGAGTAAACTTTTTACTTTAAACAGATCACCCTAACGTTAAGTAGATAGTGAAGAACTTAAAGGAGCAAAGATTGAAGGCTGTGAAATTTCTGGTGGTATGATGGGAGGAGGGGTGAGGAAGGGAGAAGGAGGGAGAGAAGACAAGAGCCTCTAGCTTAGGGAAGATGTTTTTAGGAATGGGTAAAAGGAAACATGGTAATTAGAAGGTCTTATTGTTAGCTGTATGTCTGCTTTTATGTAAATGATTTCATTTACTCTTTAAGAAAAAATCTTTATTATGCTTGATATTACCATATCTGCATAGGAAGATATTTGTTACTTGTCTGAAGTGACATAGCAAGTGGCAAAATTATAACCTCATTACAAACACTCACTGAAATTGCACATTGTTTAACATGTTTCTCTCACGTGTAGGGCAGTGTCCAAAGTCAGATCAGGAAGTGGAGAATAACTGATGTTGAGGTAAAAGAAGCAAACATCCAGGATACCCTCTTCTAGGGAAGAGGGCTATGTAGGTAGTAATGCTTTCTGTTGAAGATGATGGAGAAGGATGGAGTTGCCTATGCATACATTTGTCAGTCTGGAACTTTCTCAGTTACAGTAATAAATTCTGTTTTTAAAGGAATTGTGCTTTCATTAAAACTTATAGTCAGCCAGATGAAGTAATACACATGCCTATAATCCTAGTACTAAGAAGATTATAGAGTTCAAGGTGAGGCTGGGATAGCCTTAAAAGAAAACCAGACCCTTATAACTCACTTAAACTTTGCATATTTACTATATATAAGTCATACTCCAGTAACACAGTGAAAAAAATGCAGTAGGCACTATGACCATTAAGATTATAGATTTCTGTCAGGTGCATTAGGGAGGTAGAGGCAGGCAGATCTCTGTGAGTTGAAGGCCAGCCTAGTCCACAGAGCTAGTTCCAAAGCTACAGAGAAACCCTGTCTTGAAAAACTAACTAACTTAACTAACTAACTAACTATGATAGATTTCTAACCAGCCTTGGTGGGCATTCATTTTAATTCCAGCACTTAGGAGGCAGATCTCTCTGTGGATTTTTGAGACCAGCCTGGTTTACATGATGAGTTCCAGGCTAATCAAGGCTAAAGTAAGACTATGTCTGTCTCTCTCTCTCTCTCTCTCTCTCTCTCTCTCTCTCTCTCTCTCTCTCTCTCTCTCTCTCTCAAGGCTAAAGTAAGACTATGTCTGTCTGTCTTTCTCTCTCTCTCTCTCTCTCTCTCTCTCCACACACACACACATACACAAACACACACACACACTCTTATACGTCAGGTGTTGGTGGCTCATGCCTACAATAACAACAACTAGGATGATGAGGACAGGAGGATTGACATGAGTTCAAAGCTAACCTGGGCTATAGAAATAAGGGATTTCCCTGCCCTCTCCCCATTTCCGACCAACTGGTCACACAAAATGTGTATGTGTCTTAAGTTCCTATAATGTAGTATATTATTAAAGAATTAAATGCATCTTTTGGGATTGTTTGACAGTAATAGAATCACATCCAGATAATGCATTGGAGGATCTACGACTAGATAAGCCAATTTCCCTGAACTGAGAGAACATTTTCAGTCTTACGATTTGGAGCATATGGAAAAAGGTTGGTAGAGAGACAGAAGGGGAGGGAGGAAGGGAGTGATGGAAGGAGAGAGAGAGAGAGAGAGAGAGAGAGAAGAGTGTGTGTGTATGTGTTCTTGTGCTTAAGTTTAGAGTTAAACTTTTGTTTTTCTTTTGACATTTTGATATGGTCTCAAGGAATAATCCTGGTTGGCCTAGAATATACTCTGTAGATGAGGCTGACCCTCAGTTGGTGACAGTCCTTCTATCTCTGCCTCCTCCAGAGTGCTGAATTAAGAGTATGTGCCACTGTGCCTGGCTTCCAATTCAATTTTATATTTTTTTAGACCTAAGGTTTTTTGTGTGTGTGTGTGTGTGTGTGTGTGTGTGTGTGTGTGTGCATTTTTTATATGTCTCCATTGATATAATATACCAATGTGGAAAAGTATTGTAAACTTCATATTCTTGTTTGGATAAAGAAAATAAAAAAAAAAAAAAAAAGAAAGAAAGAAAAAGAAAACTCAATAGGGTCTCATGTGTAGCCCTGGCTGGATTAGAACTCACCTATAGAATTAGACTAGTCTTAACCTCACAGAGATTTACTTGTCTCTGCCTCCCAGGTACTGAGAAAAAAGGCATGCTCCACCACACCTGTCTAAAATACTTTTTGTTGAAGAAAAGTAGATAAACCGAAGTTTGCAGTGTAGTCACTACCCAAGTCAAGAAAATGAACATTAATTTATCCTAGTTCTCTCCGTGGCCCTGTTTCTCCAGGGAATTTTAAATTCCTTTTCAACCTACGGTTAATTCATTTGGTTATCAGAAAACAGCAAGTTCTCATTTTCAGCCTAGTATTGATACCTGAAATGAAGAGATTAGAGCTGTACCTTTGGGTGGTGTGTCTGATGCTTTTCTTGCTGAAAAACAAAGGGACTATTGTATACCTGACCTCAGTCTTTCTCTTTCATGGTCTCTTTCTCAGTGTGTGTGTGTTGGGGGATGGGTTACAGAAAGCTAAATATGAACCTGTGGGCCAGAGTTAAACCTCAGGTTCTCTCAGTTGCTTTCTACTTTGCTTTTTGAGACAGTGCCTCGTCACTGAGCCTGGAGCTAGCCATTCACTTAGGTTGATTGGCCAG